TGCACCGATTTTTCATCTTGAGACTTACAAAAGTTACAAGGCTGAAACTTTGGCAACTGACCAACAACCACGTAAAAGCCTGTCCCCAAAATGATCACTTACGTTCATGCGGTTCTCACGTGCGGGCACGTGAAAAATTTTTCGGCGGAAAAGCTACTTCGGGGGCGGCGCAAAATAGAAGGCTGGAACTTAGCGAAGGTGTTCCTTGCTCACGTTCACCAGGATATTTTAATTCAGCCTTCACGCACCCCCCTTCCCCAGGTTTCACGTGCGTACTTGTTAAAGTTTAAATCGGCATCATGCCAGCTGGAGAATTGAGAAGTTGTAGAGAGCTACAGTTTTGAAAGCAACTTTCACGTTCCTTCCATACCTTATGTACGTCTCACGCACGAACAAGTGAAATTTGACGTAACTCCGCAACCGAAGCAGCTGAAGCATCGAAATTTCCTCAACATGGCTCACGGCCCTGTAGCACAAATGAAAGCAACATTTACGTTCTTTTCACGCGCAAACACGCGAAATTTGACATAAGCCCGCAGTCGAGACATCTAGAATGCTGAATTTTTTTGAGCATGAATGTGACCAAGTGTAAAGAGAGTCATTGTAATTTCTGACAGTCGTGATGGCCAGTCTCAATCCTTTTAGCTAGAAGCATCTGCCAGAAAAAGCAGTACCGTTAGCAACAAAACCTCGCCAAGAAACTGTGCAAAAAACGCGTCTTCACACCGGCAGTCGGTGTGCTGTTGAATGTTTTACTCCATTGCTTCACTTTCCTTCATTCCCCACCACCCACTGCGAATATATCTGACGTTCACTGCAAAGACTTCAAAGTGCAACATACTTTATTCTGACGATAAAAAAAAGATGAAAGTGACGACGATGCGTATGTCGCCACTAACCAATACTAAAACAATAAAAACACTCCAAACACACTATCACGCATGAGCTTTATGTACAGGATTTTTGTGCAGAATCATCCTATAAGATTCGAGATCGACGCGCGGTCATGCATCGCCAACATGCACCTTCTCGTCGTAGCTCGGAGCGAGCCATAATACGTACATGCTGTTTCAAGACAACAGCAGTATTTAGTATTTGATATTTATATTAATTGTTTATTGGGTTACTGGGAACTACAATTTTCGGAAGCTACACATTTTTCGCAGCCATCTGAGCTAAAATTCAGGAAGTTCTGAAATATAGCGTTTCAAGCCAGTTATCATGATTTATTTTTAAGTAAACCGGGCAGTACACAGCATCATCAACAATCGAGAGCCTTCTGGAGAAACACCATCGAACTACAGCTGTTCGCTGTCTTTGCACTGTGCGCAGTTCGTTAGACGATTTTCTTTGCTAGCGAATAGTAACCTTAAAAAACGCCAAAAATAAATGTATGATTGTACTTGTGTCTCCCATCATTCTTTAATGAGGTCCATTCATTTTCTGCAGTTTTTTAGCAACAGCCATTTTTCGCTACCAAAGTTCTCAGGCCGCTGCGAATGCGTACTGGTACCAGCTATTCATCGAAACTGTTATGGATGAATGAGGTGTTGGTGTCGAAGGAAGAGAGTGCCGCAAACTGTGATAGTCCGACGTAAATTTATAGCTAATAACAACAATTCCGAGGTCACCGGCTATTAGCATGGGTGTCCCGCGTTAGTGATATTATTTGGCATGCTGCCACAGCTGGGTGTACCTATGCCAGGCCTTTCGATTCCGAGCTACATATTTTCAGTCAGTACGCACCGCCTGTTCGACTTGTGTCCCTCTTCAGGGTCACTCCAGTGGTCGTCTGCTTTCCCCATGAGCACCACTCATTAATGCTCGATATTCACTCGTTGTTGAAAATTTATCAGAAAGTCAAAAAATCTCCATCATATTCACTTTCTGTGAGAAGCTGAAGCATTCAGAAAGTTGCCTAAGTGATAGCTAGCGCCAATAGTAACCGCCGGCTGGGCAAAGCTGCCGATGGCTCCGTTTTTCGAAGGTTGCTTACAAGCAGGCTTATGAGGGTTTGACTACCTGGCAATTGCTAATACTACCAAAAATTTGCAGTTAAGAAAAAAATAAATTTGGAGTGCACGGAAACAGCAGTAGCTGCATGCTTTTGAGGTCGATGCAAAACTCGTACCGGTGGAAAAGCATTTGCTTATTTGCCTATGGCGACTGCTTATGCTGAGAATGTGATTACTTTCAAACAGTTTCTAAAGTTGAAGTAAAACTGTTCCTTGCGCTAGTATCTGAGACCTTTCTGATATGCAACAATACGAAGATGCAGAATCCAAATGTCCAACCAGCAAACTCAGAAAACGAAGTCTGAATTAAAACCGGTTGGCCGGCTGTCCGAAATTTATCGCACGTGTCACAAGATCAAATTGGACACCCAGAAATCGTACAATTTGGTGACTCAGCCATTAGATGCCAAGCCTTCAAAAAATGCACAAAAATATAAGGTGTGAGCAACGTGCAAAGGCTAACCTGTACAAAAAACATGCGAAAAGTGTAGCTAAGCAAGGTCCAATCCAAAATATAGCATGTCTTTTTATGGCACCGAAATCGCAACCAATGCTGTCATAGCTGGCCAATGCAAATGCAACAAGCGGATTCCATCCATTGGTTGAATTTAGCAAACTGCAAGTTTTCAAGCAACACTGTTAATTTGGCAACTCCGCTTTTACAGTTTAAGCCTTTCCCTCCCTCCCCCCGCCCGTGTATTCACTCACTGAGAAAGGAGGAAGCATTCAGAGGCAGAGGAAATAAAGAGAAAGTAGCCCCAATATTATTAGCTAATGCCAATAGCAACCATCCCTCTCTACAAAGTTTGTTGTCAATATTTACCAAAGTTTCAGAAAAGCGGCAAAATTAGGATACGGTCCATTGGTAATGAACTGCAATTTTAACAGGCCAGTTGCTTCTCAGTTTAATCAAATTTTAGCTTAAATCTCAGTTCAGCTATTATTCCTTCACATGTGCTCTCTGTAACATTTCTAAGTGTACTTAGCACTTAGTTGATATCCGTTCCTTGGAAACGTTTGTAATTTTGCTTAAACCTAATAAATAAATTAGGATCTAAAATTAATAAGTGTGATTCAGAGTTGCGGGAAAAACAGTACCAAAAAAGAGGCATTTTCAGATCACAGCACTGCGTTCCAGCCTCACAAATTCTTGGATCTCAGAATTATTATGAGAAAAAAACTCAATTTCAAAATTAATAGATACAAATACTGTTCGAAAACGCCACGCAAGCCCGATTTGTTGCGGTTTAGAAAAGATCCCCTTTCTAATTTCTACATTTTTTCAACCAGCTTTGAGTCCGCCTAATTAACTCATAACTTAATTTCTGTGGGATGTTAATCCGTACTGCAGCTGCGACACAATACAATGGCATTAGACCCTAGCCGTCCTTTTACCCGATTTTCATCTCATCCTAGTGATTTTAAAAACCATTCTGCCCTCTCGCGTAAGTTATCGTATAAAAAACCTTTCTGTACAAAAAACATACGAAAAGTGTGGCTAAGCAGAGCAAAATGTTCAAGCAAAGTTTACATCAATTAGCGTAGGTTAAGCTACAATACAATTTGAACAACTGAAACATAGAACCAACCAAAGTAACGAAGAAAGAAAAACAGCTGCGGCTATTGGCGCTGGACTAGCTGCCGGGCGTGCCAGTGCCGTCAATCCACTACCTGTTCGTCTGGTCAGCAACAGATGACTGACCACTACCAGCAGAGTACCAATGAACTGCATTAGCACCTGCAACATATTACACATATTGTAAAAGAACTCTTATGAGGCATTTTTCCTGTTCGGTGAAGTAGATACCTTATCATGGTGTATGAGTGGCAGTGTCCGAGAAGAGGTGTTGGAATCAATACATGATTGAGAGATACCTTAGAACGGCTACAACTTAGGTAAGTGTTTCTGTGGGTCAGCAATCTTTCCCGAATACGAAAGTCAGGACCGGCAGCAGGCTGGTAAAAATAGCTGAAGAAGTATCAAGCTTGAGAGCTAAAACGCGTTAGAAGAGTTGTTCCACGCAATCCAGGCATGTAATCATAATTCATCCAAAATTCCCAGGCGATTGTACGATACTCACCAGTGCGTTTAAGTTGGCTTTAAAATTGTGAAAAACGGCTTGGTTCTTACTTCTGACATCTTCCCGATTTGCTGGGTTTAATTTGCTCCTTTTTTTTATAGTCATCTAAAGTCTCAGTTTACTCCATCAATCTGGTTCACTAACTAAAATTCCGAGGGGATAGTCTGTGTTCACAGTTGGAGGCGGAATTCCCTGCACTTGGACATAAAAAATATTTAGTTTAGCAGCAGCCTCAAAAGAGAGTGCATTTTGTGGATCTCGTCATTCTTCCGTTTCGGTATCAGAATCTTTTGCTGCATCTTAATGCACTCAAACGTCTTACTTTACAATCCTCTTTTGCTATCCTTTTTCTTTTTGAACTTCTTTTCCTGTCCATTTTTCCCTTCTTTGATGTAATATTCTACCACTGAGAGCTCTCCGTTATCACTAACACTACTTTTCAACAATATCATTCAATACTGACCAGGTGGTAAGCAGCTCCCGTGCGGTCCATTGTGATATCCTGCAGTATTATCGGCATCTGTATCTGCGCAGTTCTATGACGCATCGACTGTAAATAGCATAATGATTAATAAGATACAGCTAAACAATTAAACCGAGAAGTTGGCAGTAGGCAAGTAGTGCAGAGGACAGCAAAGCTGAACAAGCCTACTGCCAAATCACGCAACCAAAATGACCAAACTGGGCACTGCCTCACTTTATTCGGCCCGGTTGGTCGGTCTAGTCATTCTAACAGATTAAGCGGAAGCCAAAAACTAAGTAAACGTACCGCAAACAGAGCAATTGCAGAAACGGATCCGAGCAGTTGCATGATGACTAGGATACAACACATCGGCCAAGCGGTGGTCAAAGCAAACAATTCAGCTAGGCTAATTACCGGGCTCAAATGGACACTGAAACTAGCAACAGTACTAAACAATCATCGATCTGTTTCAAGACCAGTTGAATTTGAGTTCAGGCTCATTGGAATAGCAACGATTTTTTGTTTTGAATCGAAACTGTGAGAAGGTGAAGGCGCTGGAAATGTTGATGCTGAGAAAGGTGGGAAAAGAGAAGGAGGTCAGGGAAGGGAGCTTTGAATGGAATTGTTGAGACGAGGAATTTCCAGTACTTTTTTGAGAAAATACACCTCAAAAACACATAATAATTGGCCAACGCACAGGCTACCCGTGCGAAGGTGCGTTTTTTGCACCTTAGTTCCCCGCAATTTTTGTCACTACCTACATTGGTTTTTTCGGCAAATGCTTCTAGCTAAACAAATTAAGACTGGCCGCCAGAACTGGCAGGAAACA